TTTATATAAGTTGGACCTGTACTGTTTGTTTGTTTGTTTTTTGAATTTCGCGCAAAGCTACACGAGGGCTATCTGCGCTAGCCGTCCCTAATTTAGCAGTGTAAGACTAGAGGGAAGGCAGCTAGTCATCACCACCCACCGCCAACTCTTGGGCTACTATTTTACCAACGAATGGTGGGATTGACGGTCACATTATAACGCCCCCACGGCTGAAAGGGCGAGCATGTTCGGTGGGACGGGGATTCGAACCCGCGACCCTCCGATTGCGAGTCGAGCGCCCTAACCACCTGGCCATGCCGGGCCAGAGGCTTGTGTATAGAAGTGTTATTACTCGGTAATGTATGGAGATACGTGATGCCATTTGTGTTTTACTTTTTGTCACCAGGATGATGTCAGTGTTTTCCAGCGTTACTAAACTTACACCGACGACTGTCACAGTCATGCCTTTCCTTGTACCTGTACTGACTGTTTACGTTTTCTTCTTCTTCCAAACACCTTTCAATTGACCGCTATTCCTTCATTTCTCAACAGATTGACTTGAAACATGGTAGAGTTATACCTTGGTCCAATACGCCCAGTGCCTCTTTCTTTTCCTTTTTTTATTTTATTATTTAGGCCTTTTTTAAGGATTTTATGATATGAAAAGTCAAACAATCCAAAAATGTATATTTTAGGCTCCTGTGCAGTCATTGGCATACAAAAAGTTTGTATTTGCCCATTTGAGTTTTTTTAGGAGGATCAGAGCTCACAAAAAAACAACATAATTTTAGATTTTTGGTCAATTACTTGATCGTATTTTAACAAATTTACATGAAATTTAGTTCAAAGGTACTTTTTCATAAGTCCTATACAGATACATACAAATATGCTCATTTTTTGGTCATTTTAGGAAGGGTGAGTCAAAAGGTTAAATAAACCCATAATTTTAGGTGGGTTGGTCAATAACTTAGCCTTGTTTCGATAAAGTTACGTAGAATTTGATAAAAAAAAAGATACTCTCAGAGATATGGACAGTTTTGTGTCGAAATTGGCCATGTTTGGATTGCGTGGCAGTGACATGTTGCATTCGCCCACATATGTTGGCTTCTTGCATTTTAAACTGTGTCAGAACGTTCCCTAAAAGAATCAGCTCTTGTCACAAACACGAACAAATTTTCGCCACGTTATTCTGTCCACCACTTCCACATTTTAGTGCTTTCCTATTTGCCCACGTACATATAATTTGGGTTCGTAGATTCCTCAATCTCATTTGCTACTGCTGCATTTGCCTACACGGGTTTTCGGGCGTTTGCTTTCATTCTGTTTGCAGATTGTATTTTTATAGGTGACCAATCAAGAGCAGTATCTTCCACTACTGTTACCACCCACCCCCGATGGCTCAGCAGTAAGCTTTAGGGCTTATAGCCTACGAATTTGGGTTTGATCATTAGAACTGACAAAGCGCAAATAGCCCACTGTGTAGATTTGCGCTTAGCAACAAAACAAAGAAACATTTCACGACTTATAACCTCCTTCCCTCTCTGACGATATAAATGGTGTTTATTATTATTTGTTTGTCTGTTTTATCTGTCTACTGACTCACCTATCTGTCGACCTTTTCTGTCTAATGAACTTAACTATCACTCGATTTATATGTCTGTGTGTGTTTTTATGTGTGGGGGCGCGAGTCCCTTTGATACCTGCTTTTGCGCACACGGATGGTTAATAACTACAAATATTTAATAATTGTTTATCATAATATCAGCTATGTTTAGACAAATATAATGTTTTATGTGTTGTTTGAAAGTGATTAAAGAATACTAGTTTAAAAAGAAAAAAAACGAGATGACCGAGGGCTATTTAACTCGTCTGTTGTCTCTCCACCTACAGAAATGATGTTAAAATAATAATAATGTTTTATGTGGTGTTTGAAAGTGATTAAAGAATACTAGTTTAAAAAGAAAAAAAACGAGATGACCGAGGGCTATTTAACTCGTCTGTTGTCTCTCCACCTACAAAAATGACCAACTCTAAGCCCTCTAAGTCAATGCGTCTAATCAATGAAATTTCATACAATTTCAAACTAACAGCACACCGGCACACCATTACAAAATTATTCAAAATATTTTAAGTACGAAAGAAAAAGAATTCTCTAAATAATAATTCTGTATTTGTATTTTCAAAACTTATAATTTCCATCCTACTAGTTCCTCTACTTAAATAAAGCTATCATTAGCAGTTAATCCAAGCCCTTAATCAATATTTCAGAATAAGCAGATTTCAGGCTGTCTTTAGCTTCTCTTTAGAACTCAAATATTTTTTAACGAGACATCACTCTACAGATGTCTAGTACGTTATATTAAAACGATTTTGGAGCCTCACCACGTCGTTACAGTCCATGTCGCCATGTTTTGCCGTGCTTTGTCTTAAGGCCAAGCATCTTGACAATATTCCTGTACCATAATTTCCATTGCAAAAGGCTCCATCATAAAGCTATAATGCCCAAGAAATATCATTTCCCACTGCTTGCTTTCCATAAGCAATCTAGAGTACGAGGACGATGGTTACACAGTGCCCTCTTCAACAGTCCGATCACATTGAAATCCATAAACGCTACGTCAGGTGACTTGTTCGTTATGTATTCGTATGGAACAGCACGAATACTCGTTTCAATCACCAGCTGCTTCAGGTATGCGATAGTTGGGTGGATATATCGTGGAAGCATATTGTGTGCGCGTGAGTTGCGTTACTTTTCCAGAAGAACGTTTTTCTTGATTATATTGTGTGTTGTTGCCTGTGGCGCGTGGACGGCTTTTGTCACTGACCTTTGTACTCATAGATTCTCCCGTGTTACAAGACGCCGCCCTTTGTTTACTACGGCTGGGGGTACGATTTGCTACAAATCTCTTTCTGGGTGACAATGGTGCCTTAAGTTGATCGATATTTTCGTCCCCCGGTGGGACAACAGCATGTTTACAGACTTATAACGCTATAATCGGGGGTTCGTTTCCCCACGGTGGACACAACAGATAGCCCATTGTGCCTTTGCTCTAAAAATAAGCAAGCAAGCACGCAAACCTTTTTATTTTTCAGTGTCATCAACGACAGAGGATATCCCTGTCTTGGAAATTATAAATATCTGATCTGAAAACATCTTTATGATAGAAGTGTAGGAATAGCTTGCGTCGGAAAGGGCTGTTATATACCCTTTCTGATAGCCATCAGTCTTCTGTGACATCACACTATCAAAGAAACGCGAAGTAATTACATTTCGTACATCTGATACATGTGGTATCACTGTGACTTTATATCTGCTTTGGTTGTCACGTGTCTTGCTTATTTGCATATTCAAAATTGTTTTGATATAGAAGCTCGTTCCTGTACCCTTCTACCCTTCCCAACGTGTGCGCTTCACAATTCTTCCCACACAACCAATATCTTCAACAATAACATGAATTAAACTCCAAAACTCTTCTTAAAACAGAATAGTCATATCAGGTTGTTGTTGTTTTTTTTCTTCTCACTCATTAATATATTTGTTTAACTCACAGCTTCGTTTCCTTATTGCCATTATACACTTCAATTTTTTTTCTTGATTATCTCTTAGCTCATCAAACCTTTCCATTCACATTTGAGGCTCAGAATTATTAATATCATCATGTTTATTTTGATAACCAAAAGCTTCTTCCAATCTTACCTGTATACTTTGTTTCTATTGGTCTGCGTCTGTGTGGCTGTAAACACAATCAAACGGGAATCCTTTTCATGTATTGGTCTGTATGCCGTGTATTTGTGTGATTGTAAACACAATCAAACATGAGTGCTTTGTTTGTGCAGACTAATACAAACAAAGGGCACCTGTTTGAGTGTGACCATAAACACAGGGCATATTGACCAATAAATACAAAATATACAAATACACGATATATAGACCTAATACAGATCAAAGAAACCTGCATAAATACAAAACATACTAACACTCGACATACAGATCTAATACAAATAACATAAACCAACATTACCATTACCATACAAACACAGAGAGTGCAGCTCAGTACAAACAAAGGGCACCTGTTTGAGTGTGACCATAAACACAGGGCATCTACAGGTTTCTTTTGGCTGTATTAAAATCTGTATGTCACGTGTTTGTATGTTATTGTTTTTTATTTCTACAGGTTTCTTTTGGCTGTATTAAATCTGTGTGTCACGTGTTGTATGTTATTGTTTTTTATTTCTACAGGTTTCTTTTGGTCTGTATTAAATCTGTGTGTCACGTGTTTGTATGTTATTGTTTTTTATTTCTACAGGTTTCTTTTGGCTGTATTAAATCTGTGTGTCACGTGTTTGTATGTTATTGTTTTTTTATTTCTATAGGTTTCTTTTGGTTGTATTAGATCTGTATGTCATATATGTTTATATGTTTTGTCTTAGTGAATAACATTCTTTACTACTAACCTAACTGAGTTAATATTCCTCAGTTGTTCGTGAATGGGCTCCAGTGTTATTATAGAGTGTAAGCATTGTGCTTATGTTACAGCTTACAAAACTGGAAGATTCTTAAAACGTGTTAGGGTTATATCCATGCAGACTATTGAAAATCTTTAAAACACTTTACTCAAGAGAGATGTGACTACAAAATATGATTTGTTAATTAACATCGTATACTACTGCAGTCGAGTGAGTTATAATACGGAACGTTCTTATTTATTTAGAATGTTATTCTGTGGATATAATATCATACAACGTTCATAAAAAGCTTAGAACTGAAGTTGAATAGATTAATTTTCTTACATATTTTAAAATCAGTAGCATATTGTCGCATATATTTTATGACCAATGGAATTGATTGAAAATACTGTAATTCGAAAAACAAAATATTTCATCGCTAAAATTAATAACGTGCTAAGCCTAGCTGAAGTATATTAACAAGAGTTTAACTATCCAATATTATACCAAACCCAACTTATAAGCCAGAGAAAAACATTTTATCTCCTTCTCAAATATAGTTGGATAGGTCTTACCTATATCAAATCTAGCTTGCAGAACTCCCTAGGCTTAACCCATCTTTCAGACAAGATATTTTAATGAGGCTGCATAGCTAGTTCCATGGTGTACTATTAATTATATACTCGTTTTCTAACTCGTTTACGACATGAAAACACTCACGCTAGGCTCCTTCCGGAGCAAACGGTAAACCAAAGTTTCAAACTAATTGCCGCTACTCAGATTTTGAAAGTATCTCTGTAGTCTACTGTTTGTTGGAGAAAAATAAAGTCAAGCTGAAAATTTTCGAAAGGAACTGCAAACTACAGCATGTTCACGTGATGCACAAACTGTGATGCTGATTATACCAGCCTACAGAGACAATAGGATTTGTGGAAGTGTGAGAATCTTTTGCGGGTGAAAATTAATAATCCCAGTACTGTCACTAATGTGGCAAGCCGAACCGTTCAAGATCGTGTTATACATCCGCTGTGTTCTATCAGATCCACTTTGTCTTAGTTTTCACACGATCAATTTCATATATCATTTCTCATGTAGCTCTTGCTGGTTCAGATGGCGAGTGTCGTATAACTGTCAGCGTAATTATTTATAATATCCTCGAAACGTAGCACACATGCCTTACACTTCAACTCAGTTAGGAGTACACGTACATGTAGAAGCGCCATATGGATTTTCAACGGAAGGTTTCTTTGCAAGGGTGGAGTTACGTTGCGTACGGCGATCATGTCAGTCTCCTTATTCACCAATGGTAAAATAATAGAGCGCGTGCATAGGTATCAATTTTAGTTTCCTTGGCAACGGCTATAAATGCTGTCCTCTGTTCACAACGGAAAGGGTTGCTGCAATCATGATCTACAAAGTTTCATAACAGTTGCGATGTAGATACGGAAGACCACTGGGATATAGTAATTAGAGAATTAACAGTGGTAGATACTACTATTTTGTAGTTTTATCTATATGCCTGGTTCGAGAAACATGATGATGAAAAACGTCGTTCTCAAAATGGCAACAAATATCAAAATGATAGAACAAAAAATTACATAAGTTTGTTAAGTGTTATCTTGCAACAAGCCTGATTAAAAACAAGACACGGTATCGCTTTATTTCTCTGTTATGTTTTTCAATGAATAACTGAATCAAATATTTTGAACTGTTTGATATAATGCACCAATTAATCTTGTTCTCTAAAATTTCTTTAAAAAAGAACGTTAATGAAGAACGTTTCGTTGGTCGGATAATGTGATACACTCAACTTCGTTATTAATTTACCAACAATAATCAAGTGTACTTTAGAGTTATTGTACTAAGGTAAAAGTTTTGACTAGAGGGAAGGCAGCTAGTCATCACCACCCACCGCCAACTGCCAACTCTTGGGCTACTCTTTTACCAACGAATAGTGGGATTGACCGTCACATTATAACGCCCACACGGCTGAAAGGGTGTGACGGGGATTCGAACCCGCGACCCTCAGATTGCGAGTCGAGTGCCTTAACCACCTGGCCATGCCTTTACACTGCTAAATTAGGGACGGCTAGCGCAGATAGCCCTCGTGTAGCTTTGCGCGAAATTCAAAAACAAACAAACACATTTCGCAAGTAATGAAATAACTAATTTTTAATTCGTACTACAAAGTATGAATTTTAGGAGCGTTTAGCGATTCCTGTAAAAAAAGATTAAGCCCGTGTGATAATGAAACTAAATGTAATTTGTAATTTATTAAGTATTATTCAAACCACAGTTTTTCAGAAATTTATTAATATGTGAATTTTAACTATTTATTTTGAGATGACTTAAAACATATTATAAATCTCAGTAATGCGACTTCGAATCAACCGGTGATATTAAATAGTAAGGTAAAATGAAGTACAGATATAAATATAACTAAGCTAATTACCACTCGGGAACTATTTTTTGTGCTAATTCTCACGAAAACATGTGGTGTTAGTCTACGAACACTTTCTAACCATCCTTTATTACCACAAAAACTACTTATATTGGACTAATAATCCTGATATCAGAACTTGACTAGATTATTTCTCAATGATAATGCTAAACATAATTGCTAAATTTTATCTACTTTTTCTTGTTAGCTTATCAAATACTTGAAACATATCCTATATAAAAAGCAGTTGAATAAAACATGAAAATAATAGAATGAATTAACAGTTTACGTTCTGATGTCAGAAGCTGAACGAAGAACAGGGTGGAAAGAGTGTTATAGTTCCACAACTGTGGAGGAGGAACTACATTCTATATAGAATTCCAGTAGGAATTGGATTTACATTTTATGTGAAAATATTATACAGTTTTATACAGAAAAAATTTTCCAGTAAAGTAAACAAATACATTATTGTTCTATGAGAAGCTCAATCATATGAT